TCTCACTCCGATAAAGTTTGCCCTCTCAGTTTTCTGGACTTGCGGCTTCTTCAATCTTGAGCTGTGACCCCTTGTGGGGCGAGTGTCCGCCAGCTCCAAGTATGGGCACTCGACTGAGTAGTGCCCCTTGAGAGGCTTATACACCTCAATTAGGTCACCGCTTGACCGTCTGTAGTATAAGCTAGGCAAGTTCAGGTGCTCCAATCTCTCAGGGAAGCTGAGGTGCCACTCTCTAGGTTCTGCAGTTCATCCTTGGTGTTGGTGAAGTTGTTCAGGAGCCGAAACTTCTTGGCGAAGAAAGCAGCCTTCACGTTGCAAATCAACTCCTGATCCATGGGCTGGATTAATGACGTAGTGTTAGCGGGAAGGAAGACCACTTTTACGTTGGGGTGACGATCCAGCAAAAGGGGCGAGTGTCCTGGTGCGTTGTCAAGGAGCAACAAAATGTTGAATGGCACAATATTTTCCACGCAAAATTTCTTGATATCAGGAACGAGACAGTTGTCAAACCAGGAGAGGGACAGACCAGAGAACATCCACGCCTTCCCTGAGGTTAGCCAGTGGACATTTAACTTGCTCATGTCCATATTCTTGTAGGCATGCTGCTTGCGGGCTTTGTGGATCACAGTCAACTTCCGCTTAGCAGTGCCGAAGGCATTGGTGGTGAACAGTACGGTGATGCGCTCCTTCTGCATTTTGCGACCCTGACACTTGCTAGCAGACTTGACTTCGAAGGTCTTGGATGGCAATTTCTTCCAGTACAACCCTGATTCATCCATATTGAACACTTGGTCGTCGGTGTACTGTCCTTCCTCCATAATTTTCCGTAAAAATGGGGGAAAATTCCTGGCGGCAGCCCGGTCGGCACTTGCTCCTTCTCCGACTATCTCAATATTTGTGATCTTGTTGCGTCGTCTAAGACCTTGTAGCCACCCAGCGGAAGCACTGAAGGGCTTGGGCTCTGCAACCCCCATTTTTCTTGCTATTGCTGCATAGAGTTCTCGGGCGTAGTTCTGCAGTGCCCGAGTGTCGACCGCCATGTTCCTTCTTGACTGATGAATAATGTAGCTTACCAACAAACTCTCGGTTTTCAGCAGCACCTTATTGTGGCAATATTTCACCAGCGAGGCACCTACAGACTTGGTAATGTTCATGTGTTCATTGATTTTGCCGGCATCATTCTTGATAGTGCGGATCGTCGATTCATTCACTCCATATTGTCTGGCCAGATCCACCTGTCTTGTGCCTTTTTCTAACTCCTGGACGATCTTGTCCTTTACCTCATAACTTAAGGCACGTCGCACCTTCTTGGGCTTGGGGCGGCTTGGGCCAGGTAGTTCAGGGCTTTTCGGGGATCCAGCGGAAGCCATTATGTAGAAAGAAAAACTAAACCGGTTCCTGGGCACGAGTGAATATATGCGGGGACAGTCAGACGGCGCGGCGGTGGTCGATAGCGTGTGTGGCAGGGGTGGCAAGGTTAAATAGACCAATCACAGCGCGCTGCAAAGGGGGTGCGTGGGTGGTAAGGATACGTGGCCCAATCACAGTCCGCGACGTCATCGGCGCGAGTCTGACGTGAGCGGTGACGTCAGCGCACAGCACCTTGCCCTGCCGTGTATATGATGGCATTTACCGCGTAAATAATAATTATCGCTTCTGGACAGGTGCAGCGTAAATGGCCGTCCGCGTATAAAATATCCGCGTAAACCCAGACTATACTGTATAATAAAAAGAACAATAATAATTATACAGTGACCCCTTGTTTAACGAACACCTCGGGTTAACGTAATTTCGATTAACGAACTGCCTTCCATAAGGATCTTCAATTCGGTTAACGAAAAAAAATTCGGTTAACGAAGTTCTTACGAACCGACCTCAACATGTTTTCGCTTGCACTGACCGGGCAACCAGCTTTAGTATCAGTCTGCCAATACATTAATCGGTTCTAGGGCTTAAATTCCTTACTATTTTAGTATATATCAAGAAGTTTATACTATTCAATAATTTTAAAAGTTTAATATACAATTTTTTAGTCATTTTAACAATTATTGAACATAATTGAAGGTAAAGTGACTAGTTTAATGCGCGGCATCCAGCCTCTTAACACAGCAAACAGGAGTTAGTCTCTCTCTGTTTTCACTGGAGGTAACATCTTGCTTGAGACTCTCTTCAACTAAATGCTTTTTTTCTGTGTTTCCAAGCAAATTATTGGTCATTTTGAAATTTATTTTACATATTGACAATATATAATGCAGTGCAGTGTTGATTTAAAGAAAATAATCTTGAATTATACCAAGAGAGCTAAAATTTTATGGGTAAAATGGAGTCATGGGGTGACTTCTCTTCCACCCCAATGCCTTCTCTTCTTCCTTCTCCTCCACCCCTATTCTAAATCCCATCATCATCATCATCATCCAGGAGCCTTCTACATACACACCTCAAAGTAAGTGAACTTTTCTACCATTTTTGTTGAATTTAGGAAATTTTCGGTGAGCTGGAACCAATTACCCAAAAACCCATTGAAACAATGGTTTCGGTTAACGAACTTTTCGGTTAACGAACGACCTTCTGGAACGGATTGAGTTCGTTAATGGAGGGGTCACTGTAGTAATAAAAAATACAGTACAGTTGTACCCCACTTAACGCGGTCAATTGAACCCAGAGGGTCCCGCGTTAAGTGAAATCCGCGTTAAGTGAACAACAGAACATATGGGATTAATTCCAATAGAAACCGGCCCGACCCCCAAACTCCACTTTTTGAAGGCACATACCTATGTTGTAGTAAAAATAACATCTTAATTTTATGATGGTACATGCACACAATTAATACTTAAGAGAAATAGAGAAATACAGTCGCCAAGTTAATGTCCATTCAAATAATGGACTCAACTCCCTCCCCCTCTCACACTACACAGCCGGCTAACAGATGGTCGGTCGGTCCCTCCCTCCCCCCCCACCCCCCCCACCAACCGTCCCAAGGAGATGTGTGGGATAACCTCAAACTAAAGTTAGGAAAATATAATTGACATTGCTGGATTCCTTGTAAGACCAGGAATATTTTGAATATAAATGTCATATATTTTGGACAAAAGATAACAGTTACCTAGAGAAAAAATTTTATCTAAAAATTGTAAGTTTAAAGCAAAATATATGATGTTTATATTCAAAATGATCACCAAATTATAAGAATTCCAGCAATGTAAATTATATTCTGACCGGGTAATTTGTATGAATTTTATGAGCTAAAACAAATATCTTCAGTTAATAAAAAAAAAATAATCTTCACGACACTATCTGTCAATCAAAGTACCCCACCTTGCCTCCCCCCCACCCCCCACCACCAATCCTCCCTTCCAGAGTTTTTAACATTTAGTATTAAATAATACCTCAGATTAAAGTTAGGATAATATAATTGACATTGCTGGATTCCTTGTAAGACCAGGAATATTTTGAATATAAATGTCATATATTTTGCACAAAAGATACCATAGTTACCTAGAGAAAAATTTTTATCTAAAAATTGTAAGTTTAAAGCAAAATATGATTCAAAATGATCACCAAATTATAAGAATTCCAGCAATGTAAATTATATTCTGACCGGGTAATTTGTATGAATTTTATGAGCTAAAACAAATATCTTCAGTTAATAAAAAAAAATAATAATTCTTCACAGGGTAACAGATGGTCGGTCGGTCCCTCCCTCCCCCCCACCCCCCACCAACCGTCCCAAGGAGATGTGTGGGATAACCACTAAATTTTAATAAATAATACCTCAAACTAAAGTTAGGATAATATAATTGACATTGCTGGATTCCTTGTAAGACCAGGAATATTTTGAATATAAATGTCATATATTTTGCACAAAAGATACCATAGTTACCTAGAGAAAAATTTTTATCTAAAAATTGTAAGTTTAAAGCAAAATATATGATGTTTATATTCAAAATGATCACCAAATTATAAGAATTCCAGCAATGTAAATTATATTCTGGCCTGGTAATTTGTATGAATTTTATGAGCTAAAACAGGCAGTCAGGCAGGGTGGCGGGTGGGGCAAATCTAAAAATAGCGTCTCGGACACTCACCGCGTATATGTGGAAAAAATCCGCGTTAAGTGAAAGTTCAGCTTTGGCAAGGCACCGCGTATATGCGAAAACGCGTTAAGTGAAACCGCGTTAGGCGGGGTAAAACTGTAATAATAACAGTAATAAAAACAAAAATAAAAACAATAACAGCAATAATAATAATAAGCACTTAAACATGTCTTTAAGACTGTCTACAAATATAGACTGTCAGACTCTTAGTGAGGGAAGGAGTGCCAACTGTGATCTGATGATTAGGAGAAGAGATACTGGCTATAGTGACTCAATAACATGGACCTGGCACTGGTTCACTTTACTTTACTTTATCCTCCTCACCGGCCTGTTAGCCACTTGGGTGGTCGGTCACGTGTATGTCACGCACTGCTGGCAAGGATTGGACATGTAATGATTCCAGAATGTATCTGTACCTGTCATAGTGTTGGTTAAGTATGGTCTAGAATGAACTCTCATAGTGCTGTCACAACACACTCTGGCAGAATGTTCAAGAGTTTACAACTGTTACTCCCCAAAAATTTGTACGAACACTTTTCTGAACCTGTGGCTTCTTTAGTCTTAAGCTGTGACCCTTAATGGGGTGGGCATCTGCCAATGGTAATCTAAACACCCGAACCCAACGTTACTCTTGACACTCACAAACAATTGGCCTTGAAAGTGTCAAAATACAGCAAGCAATGAAGGGATGTCTTCAGTTAGAAATTAATAATACTGTATTATAATGTCAAACTGAACAGGGCATCACCAGGCTAATTATTAACATAAAACTAATGGTAATTATAAATATATATAATAAAGAACTGTATAGAACATAGAATATTTTGGGGTAATTTTTCTCACTTCAAAACAATTGCACATCAGAACCCAAAACTTCAATATACTCGTACAGTAGTCGGTACTAACCAGTATATAATATCAACACAATATATAATACGTCCAGCTTGCATAGTTTGTTCTTGTAGTCTCAGGGCCAAACCGACAACGAAGAAAAGTGCAAAAAACATGTCGCACACATTCCACAACTTGTCCGACCATACTGCTATTTTTTGTCTGTAAATATACAATATATATTTATGTAAGGGATCATACAAGTATTATATTATTCAAGACAATGTTTATTTGATGGTCAATTAGCATTGATAGGATATACAAATTATATTCAAGGAACTTTATATAGGTGTTAAAGTTGAGAAAGGTTACTTGAAGGCGAATATGTACTGTACTTGTATATTTATAAGAGCTTGTTCCACTTCCAATATAAAAGGGCAAAATAAAATAAAAAATAAAGTTTAAACCAAGGATATATTGTACCATTGTATACTTTAAGTTGACTCTTGCACAAGTTATGACAATGATATATTTAATTAGGCCAGACATCCAAAGACACCTTCAATATTATCAAATTTTCAACTTATGAAATTAACTTACTGTAGAGTAAAGATCCAATATAACAGAGTAATGTGACGGAAGGCTGAGCTGGTAATAATGCCAACATGGTCTAAAGTGATCACCAACACTCACCAACACTCACCATCAACACCAACACTCACCATCACCACCAACACTCACCATCACCACCAACACTCACCATCACTACCAACACTCACCATCACCACCATCACTACCAACACTCACCATCACCAACCATCACCACCATCACCACCAACACTCACCATCACTACCATCACTACCAACACTCACCATCACCACCAACACCATCAATCACCATCACCAACACCAACACTACCAACACTCACCACTAACACTCCCACCACTCCAGCACTCACCATCACTAACACTCCACCATCACTACCATCACTACCAACTTACTCACCATCACCACCAACACTCACCACCACTCACCATCACTAACACTCACCATCACTTTCACCAACACTCACCATCACCACCATCACCATCAACACTCACCATCACCACCAGCACTCACTCATCACCACCAACACTCACTCACCATTCCATCACACTCACCACCATCACCACCAACACTCACATCATCACACCAACATCACCACCAACACTGCACTCACCACCATCACCTCAACACTCACCGCACTCACCACCAACTCACTCACCATCACCCACCACACTCACCATCACCACACCAACACTCACCATCACCATCACACCTCACTCACCATCACCACCTCACCCATCACCACCAACACTCACCATCACCACCAGCACCTCACCATCACCACCAACACTCACCATCACTACCAACCTCACCATCACCACCATCCACCAACACTTACCATCACCACCAACAATCACCACACTCACCATCTACCAACACTCCACCATCACCACCAACACTCACCATCACCACAAACACTCACCATCACTCACCATCACCACACCACCACCTCCCATCACCACCAACCATCACCACCATCACCACCAACACTCACACTCACACCATCACCATCACCACCACACCACCAACACTCACCATCACCACCAACCACTCACCATCACCACCACACCACCATCACCACCACAATCACCACCAACACTCACCATCACCACCAACAATCACCACCATCACCACCAACACTCACCATCACCACCAACACTCACCATCACCACCAACACTCACCATCACACCACCATCACCACCATCACTACCAACACCCCACCATCACCACCAACCACCAACCATCACCACCATCTACCACCACCAACTCACCATCACCACCACACCATTCACCATCAACACTCACCATCACCACTAACAATCACCATCACCACTAACATTTACCATCACCACCAACACTTACCATCGCCACCAACACTGACCATCACCACCAACACTCACCATCACCACCAACACTCACCATCACCACCAACACTCACCATCACCACCAACACTCACCATCACCTCTAACAATCACCATCACCACTAACAATCACCATTACCACTAACAATCACCATTACCTCTAACAATCACCATCACCACTAACACTCACCATCACCATTAACAATCACCATCACCACCAACACTCACCATCACCACCAACACTCACCATCACCACTAACAATCACCATCACCACCAACACTCACCATCACCACCAACACTCACCATCACCTCACCATCACTACCAAACTTACCATCACCACCAACACTCACCATCACCACCAACACCATCACTACCAACACTCACCATCACCACCAACACCACCATCACCACCAACACTACCATCACCAACCATCACCACCATCACCAACACCACCATCACCACCAACACTCACCCATCACCACCAACACTCACCATTATCACCATCACTCATCATCACTACCAATACTCACCTCAACACCACTACAACATTCACCAACACTCACCAACACCAACACTCACCATCATCACCAACATTCATCAAAACTCACCACCACCAACACTCACTATCATCGCCATCACCACCAACACTCACCGTCATTACCAACATTCACCATCATCGCCAACACTCACTATCATCACCAACACTCACCATCATCACCAACATTCAGCATCATCACCAACATTCACCAAAACTCACCACCACCAACATTCACCAACACTCACTATCATCACCATCAACACCAACACTCACCGTCATTACCAACATTCACCATCATCGCCAACACTCACCACCACCACCAACACTCACCATCACCACCAACACTCACCATCATCACCATCACTCACCATTACTACCAATACTCACGATCACCACTAACATTCACCAACACTCACCATCATCACCATCACTCACCATTACTACCAATACTCACGATCACCACTAACATTCACCAACACTCACCATCATCACCAACATTCATTAAAACTCACCACCACCAACATTCACCAACACTCACTATCATCACCATCACTACCAATACTCACCATCACCACTAACATTCACCAACACTCACCACCACCAACACTCACCGTCATTACCAATATTCACCATCATCGCCAACACTCACTATCATCACCAACACTCACCATCATCACCAACATTCAGCATCATCACCAACATTCACCAACACTCACTGTAACAATGTCATGAGTTTCCCGCAACATGAGAGTTCCCAACAATTTTAAGCCAATAGTGTGAAGGCCTTAGGCCTGTCTTCAACCAATGAGAAAGCCTATGAGGCGTGACGTCATGAAAGTTTTGGCGTTCCTTGTGGGCTCACTCGGTTTGAACAGGAGTCTGTGTTGGAATTTTGGGTAGGGAGGTGTGGGACGTCTGTGGTGGTGACATGGCAGGTATTTTGGTGTATTCTATTTGGTAAATCCTTAAGTTCTCATTTGTTGTGAGATACGTGGTCCCCGTTTAACTAGCTAGGAACATAGGTTTATTATTTTGAAGTGTAGCTGTTAAACCCTAACTCAATAAATACAGTAACCGTTAATAAGAGTCCTAATTCATCCATCCCTTATTAAGAAAGAGTGATGTGGTATAAATGTCTTGGTATTATGCAGTAATAAGGTGAGTCCTATATTTATAAAAACTATCTTATATTTCTCCTCTGTGAAGTACAGTATTGATATCTTAGTCCCCCTAACCAGCCTCCCGACCGAGTCTCCCCTGGCTGGTGTGTGTGTGTGGGAGGGCCAACTGTAAGCCTATATCACCAGCCGACCCCAACCATAAACAATTACCTCCCTCACCCTCTCCACCTCTTAGGAGTATAAAGAGAAAGAAGAATAAGTATATTAATAAATAAGTGAGTAAATATAATGAATTAAAAAGACAATAAAAGAGTAATTTGTTACATAAAATATGTTAAATTAAAGTAGGGACATAACATTTGTTACATCACCACCATCCACCACCATCACCAACATTCACCAACACCCACCATTACCATCTGGTGTTTACTCGATGAGAACACATTCAACTGAGGTAACAGAGTGGCGACCTACAGGCTGGCAGAATAATCAAAGGCGCTCTATATGTTAGTAACACATACAGTACTTGTTGGTTGGAAGTTGTGGGGAGGGAGGGAATGATGCCTAATAATGACCACTACACTGCCAGGCACAAGTGAACAGGTGACTTGTATGTATTCCTTCCTGTTTGTCTCACTGTCTCACTTATACCCTTATTTTCTTTCTTCCAGGCTAGAATTCGAGCCTTTTTCATCCTTCATCAGGTATGTCCCAACCATCTCGGTACTCTACACACACACACACACACAAATACACTGTACAGGGCAAGTAGGTAATACACACATAATTAGAGGACTGAGTTGTAGAATGACAAAATGTAATTCACTCCCACTTGCTGTTCAGGGTACAATGAGGAGGCCAGTTGATGTCTCCTCCCATACTCACACCATTCTGCGTCGCCAGACATACGATCAATCAAAGATTTTTGCATCATGTCATGAGCACAAAAACATGACTTCGTTGCAAGTTATTTTTGCAGAAACTAAGTTTAAATTTTCTCCACAAATATCTATATCATTTTGCACTTGTCCTTTATTCTTTCTGGATGAAGTTTCTTGCCAATGAGATTAGCAATTCATAAACCCAAAGCAAAATTCATATGAAGATATCAACAGTACGTACAGTACTTACTTAAGTTCTACAGGTTCTGTTGACAATATTTCACGTATTTTCTCAAGAATGAGAGTAGAGATGTAGGCGACCACGTACCACTCCATCCATTCTGGTTGTTTGGGAAGTTTAACCAGAACAATATATGTGTAGAGGCACAGAAAGAATACATAAGCCATCTGTTGAAATGAATAAATTATTATTTTGATTAACTTGTCATAAATGATGATTACTAAACAACAAACTGAATATATATATATATATATATATATATATATATATATATATACACACACACACAGTATATGCAAATCCACTTTTAAGATTGTCGTAAGCATGTCTCATAAAGTAACAAAGAGATGTAAATATGAATCTACACACAAATCATTCCTGCTTAGACCTAATGCCCACAAATATTTGACAAAATACCCCCCCCCACACACAAAAAGAGAAAAAGAAACATGTTAAAGTTATTGACTGATTTGGAGGAAATTTTGTAGGAAGGGAGGATTAGTGTGTGTGCAAAATTTGGTACAACTCGGTTGATGTACAATGTCACTAATGAGGTTTAATGTCAGTAATGTTCAATAAAAAGCTAAGGAAAGGTGAATAATAATGCTCCATAATGCCACAAACATTTGTACTCTTCAGGACAGATGCAGACTGCCTCTCAGCAGGAAAAACAATAAGTGACTATTCTCAGATTCATGATTGACTCTAACACCTTAACATCATCAAAATTATTTTGGTGTCCAGCCTCCTGATTGGCTACAACACCTCTACATCATGAGTATGACTGCCTTCAAGATCCCTAATTGGCTGAAGGGGGTTGTGGTGGTGGTAGGCATGGGTGTCGCCCACTCTAAAAATAAACCAATCCACAGTTGTAGTCCTTATTGCTGAGGAGCATTGAGGCAAGCATGTGACCTAACCATCCTTTGTGAGTGTTGGGGGATATGGAGACAGGCTGGTGGTACATGTTCGTGCCTGTAGCTCAGAAAATGAAAGGTTGGCAAATAGGCCGGTCTAAAACTAAGGGCCTCATATATACAGGTGTACTCCGATAACTGATGCATATAGGGATTGGGAAAAGTAATTGGTTAGCGAATCAACAGTTATTGAAGCAATTAATCCCATAAGAAGAGTACAAATTCAGAGGGTTAGGGACCGGCCAACCTCCAAAAACTCTCATCTTCCCATCTACCCTTTATATATCTTTGTCGTGCACACTGTCAAGCAAGAAAATAAAGCCTGTATAATTAACCTAAAATAAGCAATGTAGAGCATAAACTGAGGATGGTAGAGACAGTCTAGGGTTGTAAGTTCAAGTCTCACCAATCTTTGCTGGTCCATCACCACTCTTATTATGCCTTATCACATCACATCAAGCTGCCCAGCACCAGAGGAACTATCACTGGGGTGTTAAGGCACGACTGCATAACACACAAAGTTGGAAATAATGAAAAAACATGAAGTCAGAGACACATGGTATGTGTAAACAAGAGCAGAGATGGTGGGAATGAATCAGAGGCAACACAAAGAGCCTTCTCATGGCAATAATTCGCACCACACCACCGCCTACCAAATTCAAAACAGCTCTGCTGCTTCTAAGATCTCTGGAGTATCAACAAAACTTATGCGAAGCGGCAGTTATTGGGGCATCGGTTATCGGGGCATATCTGTATAGGGGAAATACCCTGACGTCCCATAAAACACCGCTTCACATAACCTCTGATTATATATTGGGGAAATACTCCGCTAGTTTCGGTGACTACACCATTGATCCGACGATCGAGGGAGGAGCGGCCATGGATATGCAAATTTGTATTTCATGAATTATCAAGACTCTGCAGTGTTATTCATATCTCTTTTCTTTCTCTATTCTTGTCATCTTCATTTTCTTCACTTCTCTCTGACTTTGTGTGTCATGCGATCATGTCTAAACACCCCAGCAATATATTGTCTTTAATGGGGATAATGTGGTCTAATCAGATTTGATATAGGACTTAAGAGAGCTAATAGGTACGAGATGACACTTGATGTGTGGGTCTGGCCGTTGCCACAATCGCAAGATCATTTTGATTTTGATTAATATTATACAGTGAACCCTCACTTTACGCAGTTTCACTTTATGCATTTCTACATTTACACGGTACCCTACCAGAACCAGAATTCCCACTTTACGCAGTGCATCTACTCATATACGCGGGTGAAGTATAATTTTTTTATTTAGCTCATAAAATTCATACAAATTATCCGGCCAGAATATAATTTACATTGCTGGAATTCTTACAATTTGATGATCATTTTGAATATAAGCATCATAGATTTTGCATTAGACATACAAATTTTAGATAGAATGCAAGTATTTTGTTTACTCAGAGCAAATATGTTATCTTTTGTGCAAAATATATGACATTTATATTCAAAATATTCCTGGTCTTGCAAGGAATCCAGCAATGTCAATTATATTATCCTAACTTTAGTCTGAGGTATTATTTATTACTAAAAATGTAAATATACTGTTATAACCCAATCATTTCTCTGGTAGGGAGGGAAGGTGGGGGTGAGGGGTAGGGAGGGAGGGAGGGACCCAGGGAGCAGGTGGGAAGAGGGGGGGAGGTGGGGTATTTTGATTGACAGATAGTATTTCGGTAAGTATATTTTGTTTATTTATTGAAGATATTTGTTTTAGCTCATAAAATTCATACAAATTACCGGGCCAGAATATAATTTACATTGCTTGAATTCTTACAATTTGATGATCATTTTGAATATAAACATCATATATTTTGCATTAGACATACAAATTTTAGATCTACTTTAAGGATTTTGTTTGCTCTGAGTAAATATGTTATCTTTTGTGCAAAATATATGACATTTATATTCAAAATATTCCTGGTCTTACAAGGAATCCAGCAATGTCAATTATATTATCCTAACTTTAGTCTGAGGTATTATTTATTACTAAAAAGGTAAATATTCTGGTTTCTCCCACACATTTCTCTGGTAGGGAGGGTTGGTGTGGGGTGGGGGGGATGGAGGGACTGACCGACCATCTGGCGCGGTTGGAAGAGGGGGGGAGGCAAGGTGGGGTTCTTTGATTGACAGATAGTGTCGTGAAGAATAAATTTTTTTTTTATTAACTGAAGATATTTGTTTTAGCTCATAAAATTCATACAAATTACCCGGCCAGAATATAATTTACATTGCTGGAATTCATACAATTTGATGATCATTTTGAATATAAACATCATAGATTTTGCATTAGACATACAAATTTTAGATCTACTCTAAGTATTTTGTTTACTCTGAGTAAATATGTTATCTTTTGTGCAAAATATAAGACATTTATATTCAAAATATTCCTGGTCTTACAAGGAATCCAGCAATGTCAATTATATTATCCTAACTTTAGTTTGAGGTATTATTTATTACTATACCTTAAAATCTAGTGGTTTTCCCCCAAACATTTCTCAGAGAGGGAAGAGCCAGTGAGTGTAGTGTGAGAAGAGGGGGAGGGAGTTGAGTCCATTATTTGAATGGACATTAACTTGGCAACTGTATTTCTCTATTTCTCTTAAGTATTAATTGTGTGCATGTACCATCATAAAATTAAGATGTTATTTTTACTAGAACATAGGTATTGTGTCGGAAAAAGTGGAGTTTGGGGGTCTCTATTTCATTTAATCCCATATGTTATGTTGTTCACTTTACGCGGGCCTCCGTGGGTTCAATTGACCGTGTAAAGTGAGGGTTCACTGTACAGTATTCTTGCATGATCACCCTATTATGGTGTACGGTTCATCATAAGATATATAACATACAGTATTAAATACTAGAACAAAATATGATACAGTATATAATTTGACTTCAAAATAAAAGACAAGCTGAATCATAAGGAAATTTTCTTCCCTGACCACACACCCCTCCTCCATAAAGAGGAGGGGTGTGGGACTGGCTGTACCATATTTGCCAGTTTGTTGATTTTTTATTCATTATTATATTCTCGTATGATCAGCCATTTATGGCATATGTTTCTTCATAAAAAATAAATTAAATAATAAAAAAATATGATATATAATTTGTAATATGGCTTCAAAATAAAAGGACAAACTGTATCAGAAGGTAATCTCTTCCCTGACCACTCTTTCCTGCCATCAAGGCCAGCTTTTGACCTGAATATTATGAATTCATTATTATTATATTATACTGTATGATGAGCAGTCTCTTATGGCGTACAATTCATTGTAAATAATATAGTCTTCAATAACAGAAAAAATATAATACACATATAGGCATCCGTGCGTTAAGGAGTCCCAGGTTACAGAATTTCACCTTTACAGAATTTTGAAATTATGACCAAAAATTTAGGAAATGGAAAAAAAGGCAATTTTTTCTATATACAATATATAAAAAGAAAAAAAGAAAAAAAAAAAGTGGTTTCTCAGTGGTAGCCACAAGGTGGTTGGAAGGCTGCACACCTCCCCAGTTGCCAGCACCAATGGTGCTGCTCAGTTTGAATTCTTTCCCCAGTTTTTGTTCAGTTATGTGTCTGTGTTACTGTGGATCCATATTCAAGTGAAAGCAGTGGTGATAAAAGACTCCATAAAGGAATTACGTTGGACTAAAAATTGATGTTTTAATGAGGTAACTCCCAGTAACTCCGATCACACCACCTCACCTCACAACCTCCAGCAACACTTAACATTGTTTCTGGTGAGTAAAATTTGAGTTTTTTGTTCATTTATTATCATGTTACATTATGAATGACTCATTGTATGCAGTTAAAAACCATCATATTTCATACATATACGTGTTTGTGTTACGTTTTTGGGCCTCAATGGGAAAATAATTTCATGTTATGGAAAGATTTTCAGGAACAGAACCCTTCAATAACCAGGGGATGCCTGTATAATTTGTACTTTGACTTGACGATAAAAGATTACATTGTACCGAAGGTGATGTGTCACTTTATCATTCATCCCCTCCTCCCTCCCACAACCTAGTAACCTAAAAAAAAAAAAAAAAATCATTGAGAGAAGCCATATATTATGTCCACAGACGACTACAGTATATTTCTCCAGTAACCAGACAGAACAGGTTATAGGTATGGGACATCGAGCCTGTACATGTTGGCAGGCCTGTTGAATTTAAAAATTTTCAGATTAGCCAACAG